ATATCTTTTAACATTTAACAACTTGAGGCAAATACCACAGAAACACAGAGGCCCATTGTTTTTCTCTAAAACTGGTAATCTTATCTCAGCCAAAGTAGCAACTGTAATTCTTGAGAGATTGAAAGAATGAGAGAAGATAAACCTTTCTGCACTGACAGACAAAATCAGATGAAGGTGCAACATCAGGAGATTGGTTCACTTCTCACTGTTTTATGTTGGGCAAGTCCAGAACTTGCCTTTCCTTTCGAAGAGGATGTTTGCATCGTGTGAATGAGATACTAACTGGTGAATACTGAAAGCAGGGCTGTCCTAGATCTTGACAACCCCCACTGTGGCAGTGTCCTGTGAGTGTGTACCGACCACGTGGAAAGGTGCCAATGCTCATCCTGAAAACCAAAACACTCAGACTGACCACTCGTGTGAAATCCTAAGGAGGTCAGCTGGACTCAAATGGTCAAATTATTAGAAGTCATTTGGAGAAAAATGGCTGCAGAGGAACTTGGAGTAGGAGGGGAAAGATCCAGTTGTCATGGTCCATGGAGGTACCAACAATTTTGATAGAAGGAGAAAAGAGGTTTTACGGAAAGAATACAAGCAGCTAGAAACTAAATTATAAAGCAGAACCAAAAAGGTGGTAATTTATGGATTACTACCTGCTCCACAAACAAATTGGCATTGGGTCAACAAGATTCAAGATGTAAACATGTGGCTCAAAGGTCGGTGTGGGAGAAACGGGCTCAAATTCATGGGACATCGGCACCAGTACGAAGGACTGAGGGAGCTGTTCCGATGGGACGGGATCCACCTGAATCATGCTGGGTCAAGGAATAGGACAGACAGTATGGAAAGGGTGAGGAATCTAACTTCAGGTACAGCAGATAGGAGGACAACAATGAGAAGGAGGACATTGGACAGAACTGCACATAGGATACAAAACAAATTAAATGAGCTTGTCGTGCAGATTGAAATGCGCGGGTAAAATGTTGTGGGTATTACAGAGATGTGGCTGCAAGTGGATCAGGGCTGGGAACTAAGTATCCAAGGACAGGCAGATGGGCAGAGGGGGCACAGGTGTCTTGTCAGGAAAAAATGAAATTGAAACGATAGCAAGAAGTGAAAGAGTCAGAAAGCAGACAATCTGTATGGGTAGAGTCGAGGAATCGCAAAGGCAAGAAGACCACAATGAGAGAATTCACCTTGTAATTTGAAAGGAAGAAGCTTGAATCAGATGCAACAGTATTGTAATTAATAAAGGCAACTACAAACACACGAGAGGAGCTGGCCAGAGATGATTGGAAGGGGACCCCTACCAGGGTAGGTGTTAGACCAGCAATGGGAAGAGTTTCTGGGGTAATTCAGAAGGCACAGCAGAAATTCATCCCAAGGAAGAAGCAGCACATTAAGGGGAGGACAAGGCAACCAGGGCTGACAAGGGAAGTCAATGACAGCATAAAAAGCAAAAGGAAAACATGCAATGTGGTAAAGATATGTGGGAAGCCAGAAGATTAAGACGCCTTTAAAAACCAGCAGAGTACAACTGAAAAAGCGAGGGTGGGAGGGGGGAAACACGAGACCATGAAATAGGAGGGGAAGCTAGCTTGTAAAATAAAAGAAGATTGCAAGATTTTTTTTTTTTTTAAGATATTTAATAGGTAAGAGGGAGGCAACAATGGAGATTTCATCGCTGGCACATGAGGCTGGAGAATGGGGAACAAATGTGTGGCAGATGAACTGAACAGAAACGTCATGGCTTCATGGTGGAAGACACCAGCAACATACCAGTACCTCGAGAGAGTCAGGGAGCAGAGGTGAGTGTACTAGCCATCACTGAGAAGGTGCTAGGGAAGCTGAAAGGTCTGAGGGTGGATGAATCACCAGGACCGATGGACTGCACCCGAGTTGTGAAGGAGATTGCAGAGGCGTTGGTGATGATCTTACAGGAATCAGAGCCAGTAGATGTGATCTAATTGGATTTCCAGAAGGCTGCTAAATAGAAGCTCAAGGTGTTAAGGGCAAGGATAGAGGATTGTCTGGCTGGCAGAAGCCAGATAGTGGGAATGAACGGGTCTTTTTCAGGATAGCAGCCTGTGATAAGTGGGATTTTGAAGAAGTCTGTGTTGGGACCTAGACGAAGGAACTGAGGGCATTGTTGCTATGTTTTGCAGATGACACAAAGACAAATGGAAGGACAAGTAGTGTTGAGGAAATGGGGAGGCTGCAGAAGGACTTGGATAGGCTCAGAGGGTGGGCCAAGAAGTGGCAGATGATATACACTCTGGGAAAGTGTGAGGTTATGCAGTTTGGTGAGAATAATAGAGTAGACTATTTTCTAATTGGGGAAAGGTTTCAGAAATCTGAAGCAAAAAGGGACTTGGGAGTCCTCGTTCAGGATTCTCTTAAAGTTAACATGCAGGTTCAGTTGGCAGTTAGGAAAGCAAATGCAATGTTAGTAATTCATTTCAAGAGGGCTAGAATCCAAAAGCAGGGACGTTGTGTTGTGGCTGTATAAGGCTCTGGTCAGATTGCATTTCAAACATCACGAGCAGCTTTGAGTTCTGTACCTAAGGATGGATGTGCTGGCGTTAGAGGGGATCCAGACGAAGTTTAGAAGAACGATCCTGAGGATGCAGGGTTTGTCATGTAGGGAATGGATGAGGACTCTGGGTGTGTACTTGATGGAGTTTAGAACAATGAAGCGGGGAGTAGATTATTTTGACTTACAGAATACGGAGAGGACTGGCTAGAGTGATATGGACAAGATGTTTTGACTGGTCAGAGATTAGGATCCAAGGACACAACCTTGGTGTTAAGGGATGACCATTTGAAACTGAGATGAGGAGCAATTTCTTCAGCCAGATGGTGGTGAATCTGTGGAACTCGCGGTGGCAGAAGGCTTTAGAGGCCAAGTCATTGAGCATAAGAAAGACAGAGACAGCAAGGTTCTGAGTCAGTAAGTGGATCAAGCATTAAAAGGGAGAAGGCAGGAAATTGAGGTTACAAATGTATTAGCTATGACTGAATGATGGAGCAGGCTCAATGGGCAGATAAGCCCAATTCTGCACTTATATCGTGTGGTACAGTCAAATTTACATGTTATCTACATTGCAACAGGCCATTTGCATCAACCAATGATGAAACGGTACACAAAGTGAGGCAGAGAGCACAATAAGACTGTGTGGGATATCAAAGGGTACAACAAGTGAGGGGAAGACTGGAATTTTACTGGGTGAGATATTAAAGGGTGCAGCAAGTGAGGGGGAAGAGTGGGATATTAAAAAGCGTGCAAAGGAGGGGAAGAACGGGATCAGTCTGCATGCATTCTTGAAAGCCGAGGGGAAGGAGGAGAAGCAAGAGATTCGTGTCGTAGTTGTAACAAGGTCAGCCAGGTGCACTTCATAGGAGTTCCTGATTGGACCAGAGGAACATCCCCGCTCAGGGAGCCCTGGCTGACAGATATAAACAGGAGCGTCAGACATCTTGTTCAGTAGGAGAGTTGGCTTGGAAGGAGCTGGATCAGTGTCAAAGACTCTTCACATGTAAATAAAGGTGAGTTGTTGATGGGATATTGGCCTCTGTGGAGTTATTTCAATGAGACTCGGTTGGATGTGAAACAGGACAAGGGAGAAAGGAACAGGCAGAGCCAAGTGGACTTAGTCAGGGTGGGATATTACAAAGCAAGCTCATGAAATTGAAATAGATCACTCTCCCTCTCTGCAGCAAGTTGTAAACCAACTGCCATGGAACTATAAAGCAGATGCAGGGATACCCGGTGAATGGTTCATCTTGCCTGAACCAAAGATTGACAAGAAAATAACATTAGAAAAACAAAAAGAGGGCTGAAGGTGTCAAGTGCTGCATTCAGACAGAATGAGCTCAAGTGCAATATAGAAGACAGAAGTACCTGCCATAGGGTTGACTGAGGAAACTGCTGTTGCGTTGAAAAGGAAGGGTTGGTAATTTGTGTGTTGCGATCCTATCGGAAACTGGGATCAATTAGCAGAAATGTGATTAAACTTGATGCAGCTATGAAGCAGCGTACCGAGTGTACTGACACCAGGTTAAGGCATTCATGCACCATTTCCTCTTTTTGAACAAGAGGTAAGATGTGTTAAAAGCCATCAGAAAGTAGGAACAAGTTCACACGACAGACACTTATGTTTATGAAGGTCACATTACCAATGCAGTTACTTTTTGTTTTTGGCAGCAAGTAGCTCACATGTTTTGTTTCAAACCAGAGAGACAGGTCAGAGTGGAGCAGTTGGAAGAGGGACATTGTCTCTTCCAATTCCCAGCTGCAGCACCTTGTTCGGTACCCTCCAGGAGCCCAGGATATCTCCTATCGACTTGCAAGGTGCAGCCACTGTCAGCAGCACATGGCCAAGCACCTACAAACTGCTGCAATTCATGCGGTGAAGACAAAACAGTGGCCCAGTACACCACAACAAGCTGCCTATTATTGTTCTAAACTGCAACATGTGGAACGGGGCAGCTGGAGCATCTCCTCTACAAAGTAGCACTTCTGACACGAGAATACATTGTCAGCATCAGCTCAGTTGAGTGCTCAAGTCTGTGCATTTATTTAAACAGACTTTTAACTCCTCGGAACCGTGACCACACTGACTGAATCAAGACTGGAGATTAGCTCATTGGCTCTTCAAGAGCTTTGACAGACCGTGCAGTCACGAGCAACCTGACTCAAACTGAGATAACGTACTTATTTTCAGTATTAAAACCCTGACTTCAGTTTGTAGCATTTTAATTGACTCGGCTTGTGGGGTGCAGAGCTGAACAGAAGCTCAAAAGGTGCCACCATGTGGACACTATCTCAAACAACTCCTTAGCCGTCAGTCAGATTTGTGCTGCACGCTGCACTTGTCCCATCCTTTGCACACTTGCACAACCCACTTGCATCACTCACTTCTCTCAAAGTGTAAAAATAGATTCCAATCACAATACCTGTCCAAAACAGAAAGTAGCATTAACGGACCCAGTGCAGGAGACCAGTTTAAAATGATTTTTAATTTAGCATTATAAAAATATACATTCAGCTTTGAAGAATCTTTGGAACTTCTTGCAGACATCGACGGCCACACCTCAACATAACGGTAATTCTCCAGCAAAACACTCATGTTCCTACTCTTCACAATGGAAAACTAAAAAATATATTTTCTTTGAATAACAGTGCATCTGAAGAATACAGCAGCAGTTGAGAGGTCAAGTCCGAATGATATCCAATGCAAGTACCAGTCGGAAAGCCACAAGAAACATTTGAGTGTGCGTATTCAAGTGTCCTTCTCAGAAGCTGGTCAACCAGATTGCAGTGAGAACTTCAACCTGACCAAGTTACCTGCCTCTTGCTGCACCTTGCCCGGGACCTGACATTCTTGCAGGAAAGACTTTTGTACAGTCAGGCCAGCAAAATCCTATGTGTGTTCATAAAATCAATCACGTACACTCCAGACACAAACCCCTTTGCCAGTCACTATTCCAATTAGTGTTGGCCCTGCCAGGGATTATGCCCAGCAGCCAACATGGCAGCTGCTTCAGGAATCCAAGGCCAGAAGCTTCAGTCTCCCTTTGCAAGGGACATGCTGTCCTCACATATGACATTTCCCTGAGATTGGGGTGGGGCACAGAACACACACCTTAAGGCAATGCACTCAACTCTGCTTTCTCACCGCCCCCATATCCTGGGGACAATGAAGATAGGAGGTTGTGTGTGCGTGTCTGTGCATGTAAGTGTCAACGTCTGTGCGTGTACAATTTCCCCAATAGCCTTCAACACCCATTTCAAAATTATTTAAATCATTGGGAACTTTTCAAGACAAACTCTTTGTTGCAAGAGACAACCCATGGAGAAACATTGTCTCAGCTAAAGGTCGAAATGCCATCAGAGTTCTCATGTCAGGCGTAAAATGAAATTTTAGATATGTAACTAAGAAATAGGGAATCTTTTGCCTGAAAAGACTGAAAACAGACATCAAGAGAGGGCAATGAAGAGCAGATAGGCATGAGAGCAAGGGAGTCAGAAAAGGAGGCAGAAGCCAGAATAAAAGTAAAAACCAGCCACTGAAAATTATATGCCCAGACATTAACTTAACAGTCAAAATTATATCAATCCAGAAGACCTCACCATCCATGGAGAAAATTTGGAAATGACAAACTTGATCAATACAATGTTCACAGTTTTACAAAAATATTTCATGTGATGAGAGTTGTTGGCAAGGCCAGCATTTATTGCCCATCCCAACATGCCCTTGAACTGAGTGGCCTGCTGGCCCATTTCAGAGGCAAGTTTAGGCTCCAGCATCTTGCCATGGTGTCTGCAGTCACATGCAGCTCAGGACAGATTTCCTTCCCAAAAGGACATTTAGTGAACCAGATGGGTTTTTCTGACAATTATTTATAGTCATCAAGGTAACTATGACTAAGACTGGATGGAGGTTGCACCAGCTGCCAGAGTGGGATTTGAAGCCATGTCTCCAGGACATTTGTAACATTATCACTACAACTGTCTCTCTCTGTGCTCCCCTCCCATCCCTGTCAACCACAATGAAAAATCCCTCAGGCCCTTTACACGTATATTTATTTAAAAATAAAACAAAGCATGCTGAGAAAGACACTTGGTTTCTTCTCAATACATGCATTTAAAAACCAAAACTTGGCAAAAATCTCTCCTTCAAGTTATCTATCTCTTTCTATATTAAACATACACACTTATTTACTACAAATTACCTTGTCTTTTTCAACAGGCAGAGAGCAGACTCCTCGATAACTGGAAATATAATCATGAGTATTCAACTCATTTCTCCCTTTTCCTAGTGTTGACACACTCTCGAGCCTTTTTTGATAATGTTCACGGACAAGGCCCTTGCTAATGTTGTTTTCACACCTTACTTCCCACCACACCCACATCCCACCCCATCAACTCATTCCCCCCAAATCTTGATTGTAGTTTTCCAAGGATCAATTAAGTCCCAGCACACCCCACCCACCCAATTGCACAGTCAATGATTCAGCAGAAATCTATCCAGCTCCCTCTCCCTATCTACAGAGGGTCCTCAGCCAGGACCTCACAAGCTGCAGGGTTATTTGGAGGGCCGACAGAAAGTCAAACATTTCAGCCTGCACTGGAAGATCTCTGCCTTTGGGAACAGAGTTTCCCTCAATGAGCTGCTGGTATTTTAATTCAGGGGAGGGGGAAGAGTCTGATTTTGTTTCCTACAAGCCTAGCAAGTCTCTACGAGGTGCCATGCAGACCGTGAGCTTTTGAAGACAAGGAATACCCCTAGATTCTGAAACCATCCAGCTCCAACTGCCCTGCTTTGAGAGAAGGTTTATTCAAATAGTCAGCGAGCACTACAACACAGAAAAGAGGGGTGTCAGGAAGTGACCATTGTCAACAGTTTTCTGTTTGCCTGACACTTAGACATTGGCTTTGAGCTCTGATCAGAGCTGAAACCAACCTCTTTCATGTCTTTAGCTCTTTGACATTAGCCTGTGAAAGATATGGGGAAGGATCTGACAGAGATTGGAAGCATGTAGCAGTTTAGATGCATGACTGACGGCATCCAGCAGACAATCCTGAGACTGTTGGGAACTTCCTCTTGGAAAAATCACGGGAGCAGCTCACACAACACCATCCATCTGGAGGCTGAAGGGAGGGGCGGGCTGCCCTCAAGATGAGGCTGGCAGGTCCGGAGACTGCTGCTTTGTTATAAAGTACTTGAAGAATTCATAGACTGACCAACAAATGGCAGTGGAAGGCATTTGGTAGATGACACGTGCCTGCACACCCTTGAAGTAGGCAGGCAACCCGCCAATCTGGTAAACCGTCCTACAGGCATTGAGCATGCCCGAGAGGCGCCGACTTTTAGTCTTCAGCGTTCCCAGCTTCAGATTCTCCTGCGTGTTCAGAAGGGTCTTGCAGACATCAAGTGGAGTTGTAGCTGCAGCTGCTGCCGCCCCTGCCAGAGCCCCTGACAGCATGTGAGACAAGGGGTTATAGTGCCTGCAAGGATTGAGCTGCTCCTGCATAAACTCGTAGGTCATGAAGTGGATGGCTTGGAAGGGCACGTTCATGGTCAGCTGCGTTGTGTAGCTCCGGTAAAACGCTCTGATCCCTTCTGTTTTGTGCACAACCCGGATACAGTGCAGAACACCTTTGTATGGAGAATTGAACATCTGCATTCGTTGTTTGACAGCTGTGTGGGCAGGGGAAGGGTGGGAAGGAGGAAAACAGAGTGTGGGTGAACACAGTCGGATTTCAACGCCCTCAAAGCTGTCGACAAATGCTGCTTGGAGAATTATAGAATACCTCCTCACATTCTCCCCCAACCACCCCCTTCTGTATTGCCTTCTCAGCACTCCAAGTGCAGCTCAAAGCTTGACCAGCCTGTTGGTACTCAAAACCCCATCAGTTGGCAAAGTGTACCTGGTGCCAATCTAGTATGAAAAAGGAGAACAGGCAGTGCTTGGCAGCTACCCCCACCCACGTCAATAGCTAAACCTGTCCAGCGGCTCTGGCTATCGGAATGGAAGCTCCCCTGTCAAACCCAGCTACTGCAGTACAGACCACCAAATTCTCACAGGTAAAGTGGAGCCATGGTTGTTGGTAGGCCAACGCTAGCACTGGGATGACAAGCTTCCTATTCAGTGTCGTTACACCGCAGATCCAAGATCCCGGCCTACAGGACCAACGTGCGTTCCTGTCAGCCCCAGTTCCCTCACCTCGAACCACACAGCCCTGCACATTTAATGCCCCTCAAGTGCCCAACCAAATTCCTTTCAGAATCTCTGCTTTCACCACCTCATGGCTATCACATGTAAATTAAAACCATATGTAAGTTTTTCTTTGAAATGAACAATTGGAACAATTGTCACTGACGAAGTACTGGCGAGTGGTAAGCAGCCAGGTTCAAACTGATCCTTCCTTAAGGTACATCATGTGCTCAGTGTTCACGCCCTGTCCACAACTGACTGGGTGTACTATGATCTGCACAGCTTCAGTCTTTCAACCCATCAGGCTCCACAGGAGCTCCTCCATTCTCTTGGCGCAGAAAAAGTAGGGAGACTCCACTCCTCTCAGAGATATTGCACATCATCAAGTCCTTGTTGACTGCGAATGCAAACAGGCCCATCCCTCCCATGCAGTAACCCTGTCAGAGTGGCATTACCTTCAGCCGGAGTCATCACCGCATCGTGGATCAAGGTCGCTGTACCTCCTGCTATACCTATGGGACAAAATAAAAGGGACATGAGTAAGTCTGAATCTCACATCTCATAGTCATAGAGTATTAGATGAAAGACCACACAGGACTTGTGCTTGCTCTTCAACACAACATTCAAGGTCAATTATCTCACTCCCAGTATCTGTGAAGGCATCAAGTTCACAGGCACCAAGAAGCTGCCAATGGCACATGCTGGTGTTGTATTGGCCCAGCATCTTCTACAAGCCTTCAGACAAAAACAGACATCCACAATACTTCATGGCTAGACTGGTCCTGGCTTCAGGAACAGGTACAGAGAAAGGGAGATAGAGTCTCGCAGCAACTACCCACACTCCCAACAGCGGTTCAAAGCAGGGACCCCATCACCACCTCACCTTATTATCAAAGGCATGGAGAGAGTGAGAAAGTTAGGGAGAAATGGAGACAAGACTGACACTAAAGAAAATAGATTGGAAAAGAAAAAAGTGCAAAAAATGAAAGGCAGAGTGCAAAGACAAGACCAGAAAGAAAAAGAGACATCCATTTTGCCTCTGAACATATTCTGTACTGTGATCATGCACTGAGGGTTTGCTTCACTGGAATTGTGAACCCCACTGAGCTATGGCTGATCACTCAATGAAAATACTCAAGACCAAGATCACAAGATTTTGGGAACTTTACCAATGGGGTGTGTGCGTGACCTAGGTAGAAAATCGGTCCCGATTTCATGGCATTATAGGACATACTGAAGGGGCAAAACAGCCCCTCTCAAGTTTTTGTTGTCAATACATGATGGATTGAGTACACTCAACAGCAGCCAATGCAAGGAAGAAGTCGGATAATACATTTCTCAATAGGTCTAAAAAAAATCAAAAACCCAAAAGTCTTGATCAGTAACTCTCTTTTAACAACAATTAACAGCAGACAGAAGGTAAGCATACACCCAAGATGAATGCTGTCCCGTGAACTGATTCACTCCAAGTCACTCTCACAGGGAAGCAATGTCAAGTTGATGCACCTGCAGGTAGGTTTCCCAAGCATTCTAGCCAATATGTATTCCTCATCAAACATCATCCAAACACAACTACCTGGTCATTCCCACATGGCAGTTTGGGACATCTTCCTGTGCACGAAGTCCCTGTTGCATTTCCCACATTACAAACAGTGACTTCATTTCACAAAGTACTTCATTGGCTGGGAGAACATCCTAAAGTGGTAAATGGCACCCCAGGAATATAGATTTTTTTTCTTGTTTCATTGATCAGGAGTAACATTACAGCACAGGAGGCGGCCATTTGGCCCATCATCCTCGTTCCAAGGCTCACAAGAATTTTCCAGTTGCTTGCTCCCTAGGCTGCTGTTTGCCCAAAACTACATAAATCTTGCCTTCTAAACTATCCCTCCAAGTCCACTCTCAAAATGACTTTTGAATTTGCTTCCAATGTCTGAAGATCCCATTATCTGACCACTCCATAGTACCTTGCGGGGGAAGACCATGGACCATGCTTCAGATCACTGGACTCATAACCCAGAGACCCAGGATATTGCACTGGGACATGGCCTCAAGTCCCATCGTTGTAGCTGGTCTAATTCAATTTCCATGAACAATTCTGCAATGAAAAGCTAGTTTCAGTAATGGGGACCACGGTTGTCCCCATTTCACCAAGGTCTGTCAAGCCTCAATCAATGCCGTTGATTTCTAACTAAGAGGTGATTTCCAAAGGCCAGTTCAAATTCTTAAAGATCCATCAAAAAGACTTGTACATACATACTGCAGATATGTTTGCCTGTTCATACAACCACAACAGCCCCAGGACATATTGCTTGATGTGGGACATTGCCATTCTGTTGCAATAGCAACTACAATTGAGGAACATCAATCGTTGACCAGATTCAACAGTAATCAACAGGGATATGGACAGAGTTTGGAGAATGGCATGGAGTGGAGATGATCAGCCATGATTTGGAATTGCAGGGGACATCTGATGGGCTGTATGGCCTTTTCCTGTTCCTACGTCAGTGACTGAAAATCAGTTTGGTATGTTCAGAGATGTGGGAACTGCAATGATAAGTCAACACCTTCCCTTCTTTCTCCACCAATCTGGGAATTCTATGTTCACAGTGCAATTCAAAATCAGTCACCAGTACATACTTCAATTGAGCAAACACATTCGTGCCATCAAGACTGACTACACCCCTTTCACCTTCCGGTCAAGCCCAAAATAAAAACTCCGAATCCTTCAAAATAACAACAACCATGGCACATTGAAAAAAAAAATCAGGAATACCATCATTCCTGAATATTTTGTTCTTATTGTTCACATGAAGAATGTACTGAACCAAACTGGTGCAATTTGCTAAGTTCAATGGTGAAGGGTGTACACAGACTCACTGCTGCTGATTTCATGTCACCCCACAGATTTCTAGTCAAAAGGTGTACATTGACACACCAAGGAGCATGATGCATTAGCTAATTTACTGACAGTTTCTGTCTGATAATGGACAGCCCAATGAGATTTCTGGGCTCAGGTCCCAATTCAAAGGAGAACATCCCCGAATGAAGAGACCTTTTCATTTCGCAGTCAACTGGGTCTGCCCTCTAGCAATGAAAACTGTCACAGCAGTGAAACTCTCACTCACGTGCCAGTTGGAACGCACAACCCACGTGGACTGTGCCTCATCTCTTTTGAGCGATGGTGATGAGTCTCACACTCACTGTTGACACACCCCACTCAGTTGGCAGTACCTAGATCCACACCCTTGCATATCTAGCAAGGAAGAGGCATCTGCATTGACACTCAGTCCACACAATCTGCCGGGCACAGAGACTTGGATATTATTCACTTGCTATGTTCTCAATACACCAAAAGGTTGAAGATTTGGTTTTGCCAATTGGTGCACTGACGTCAGAACCTAACAACAAAATCAAAGCTAAAGGTAGAGGTGTATTTAAGCCTTGGCCCACTCAACAGAAAGCACTGAAGAACCACATGGCTATTTTGTCCAACAGACATGCATGCAACACACAATGACTATAGAAAAGCTTACACTCGCTGGCTGATTAAGTACAAGAGGCGAGCCAGGGTTGCAGCGGAATGTTAAGAACAGAATTCACCGGACTTAATTGTCAAATACCGTTTGCTAAGTGACTATTGCCACCCTGGCCGATGGCATCACTTAATGTCCTTTTCATTTTCTCATAGCTGGAAAAGTACATAGCGTGAGCAGGTCCTGCACCAAATACCATCGCGTTCAGTCCTCGCAAAGGTCTCCAGTAACCTTCTGTGTGCATAATCTTCAGCAGACCATCGAAGACATTCTTGTATTGTGCCTTCGGGTCAGGCTGTAAACTCTGCATGCGTGTCTGCAGAAGGGAAAAGAAACCAATGAGAACGTGGACTCCCGCATGTATCCCTCAGCGAGAAAAAAAACCATTTTAACGTGCCTATCACGATCTCAGGACACAGCAAAGCAAATTACTTGTTTATTTTTGTTGGAAACATGGCAGGAACTTTTCTGCACAGCAGGCTCCCATGAACAACAATGACCAGATGAACTGGGAAATTAGGTTTGAAGGATAAACATGGACTGTGTGTTGGGAAGACAGCCCTTATTATTCTCTTTTAAGTGCAAATGTGGGATCTTTGATACGAGCTCAAGCCAACACACAAGAACGGCTACAGCTCATGGTCTTATCAAGAGTCTCCAAACAAGAACTGCACACTCTCACCCACGGATTTGCTGAATACCGTTCCGAGACACCACTTCAGCACGGTGATAAAGTCAAGCCAACGCCCACAGACTGCTCACCAAATAAAATGGGCCTTCACTTATCGCCCAGTCCCAGGGACCAATGGGCAAGTGGTGCAAGGCGTTCCACGCTTTCTAAACTGCAAGGTCAATGAGCTATACATCTGGAGAAAACAGATGAAGAGAAGGACACAAAAAAGCCATTTCAATCAGCAGCTCAGAATCACTCCTACACTCCAACTGATCAAACATCCACAAAACACAATGCTGAGGGGGATACAAGTCAATTCAGACTGAAAATGAAACATGTAAACAGGCCACAACCTGTCAATGCCCATGTTTCTAACCACACTCCCATTTCCCAATTTGCCCCATCTCCTCCATGTGCTGAGCCAGCTTTGCCTCAAGTCATAGAGCTGTACAACTTGTCCAGGCCGACCAGATATCCTGAATTAATCTAGTCCCGCTTGCCAGTTTTTAGCCCATATCCCTCTTAACCCTTCCTATCCATGTATCCATCCAGATGTCTTTGAAATCTTGTACTAGCCTCCATCACTTCCCCTGGCAGTTCATTCCATACACAAACCACCCTGTCTGTGAAAAGGTTGCCCCTTAGAACCTTTTTAAATCTTTCCCCTCTTACCTTAAACCTTTGCCCTTTGGTTCCAGATTCCCGCATTCCAGGGGAAATGCCTTGGCTATTCACCCAATCAGTGCCCCTCAAAATTTTATAAACCTCTATACGATCACACCTCAGTGTCCGATGCTCCAGAGAAAATAGCCCCAGCCTGTTCAGTCTCTTCCCTACAGCTCACACTCTCCAACTCTGGCAAGATCCTTGTAAATCTTTTCTGAACCCTTTTAAGTTTTACAACATCCTTCTTATAGCTAGGAACCCAGAACTGAATGCAGTATTCCAAAACTGACTGAACCAACATCCTGTACAGCCACAACAGGATCTCCCAACTCCTATACTCAATACACTGATCAATAAAGGCAAGCATACCAAATGCTTTCTTCACTATCCTATCTATCTGGGACTCCACTTTCAAGGAACTATGAATCTGCACTCCAAGGTCTCTTTGTTCAGCAACACTCTCCAGAACCTTACCATTAAGTGTATAAGTCCTGACCTGATTTGCCTTTCCAAAAATGCAGCACCTTATACTCATAAATTGAAGTCCATGTGCCACTCCTCGGCCCATTTGATCAAGGTCCCATAGTACTCTAAAGTAACCTTCTTTACTGTCCACTACACCACCAACTTTGGAGTCACCTGAAAAATTACTCACCATACCTATGTTCACATCCAAATCATTTATATTAATGATGAAAAGCAATGGACCCAGCACCGATCCTTGTGGCACACCACTGGTTACAGGTCTCCAGTCTGAAAGGCAACCCTCCACCACCACCCTCTGTCTTCTACCTTCGAGCCAATTCTGTATCCAAATGGCTCGTTCTCCCTGTATTCCATGTGACCTAACCTTGCTAACCAGTCTATCATGAGGAACCTTGTTGAACGCCTTACTGAAGATCACATCCACCGCTTGGCCTTCATCAACCCACTTTGTTAGTTCTTCAAAACACTCAATCATGAGACACAATTCCCACACACAAAGCCATGCTGACTATCCCTAATCAGTCCTTGCCTTTCTAAATACATGCAAATCCTGTCTGTCAGGCTTCCCTTCAACAACTTGCCCACCACCGGTGTCCGGCTCACCGGTCTATAGTTCCCTGGCTTTCCCTTACCACCTTTCTTAAATAGTGGCACAACATTAACCAACCCCCTGTCTTCCAGCAGCTCGTCTGTGACTCTCGATGATGCAAATATCTCAGCAAGGGGCCCGGCAATCATTTCCCTAGCTTCCCACAGAGTTCCAGAGTACACGTGATCAGGTCCCGAGGATTTATCCACCTTTATGCATTCTAAGACGTCCAGCACCACCTCCTCGTAATATGGACATTTTTCAAAATGTCACTATTTACTTCCCCATGTTCTGTATCTTCCATATCCTTCTCCACAGTAAACACGGATGCAAAATACTGATTTAGTATCTCCCCATCTCCTGCGGTTCCACACATAGGCAGCCTTGCTGATCTTTAGGGGGCCCTATTCTCTCCCTAGGTACTCTTTTGTCCTTAATCTATTTGTGGAATCCCTTTGGATTCTCCTTAACCCTATTTGCCAAAGCTATCTCATGGCACCTTTTTGCTCTCCTGATTTCCCTCTTAAGTATACTTCCACAACCTTTATACTCTTCTAGGAATTGAGTCAATCCCTGCTACCTATACCTGACACATGCTTCCTTCCTTTTCTTGACCAAAACCTCAATTAATCATCTAGAATTTCCTTAATCCATCAGCCTTGCCCTTCATTCTGACAGGAAGGCACTGTCTCTGGACGGTTCTCATTTTTGAAGGCTTCCCATTTTCCAGCCATCCCTTTACTTGTGAATTTCCAACCCCATTCAACTTTTCAAAGTTCTTGCCTAATACCATCAAAATTGGCCTTCCTCCAATTTAGAACTTTAATTTTTAGATCCGGTTTATCCTTTTCCATCACTTACGTCCACAATATTGGCCTCAACCACTTCTTGTGACATCAAGTCTCACATTCTCAACACAGCAGAGAAAGAGCTCTCACCCAAATTCCCGATTAGAATCTGTGATGACTATTAATGTATTCATAACTGCCAGTCTGAATTTTACACACTGAGGTCGACATTGCCATTTCAGAAGAACACCCCTCAGCCTTCGCTATTGAAGATAAAAACAAAGAAACTGAATCATGGTCCAAATGGCCTTCAGAAGCAGAGGACACAGATATACAAGACTTCAAGGAATATTTTGACAAATCGTTTGTCTTTTCTTAGTAAGAATATGGTGACATTGGACAATTGCCCTCAAATTCTTCAGAGAATATGATTCCTCCTTGGACCTGCTGCAGAATTCTTCCTCAGATGCATTGCCATAATTAGCCAACAACTCTTGTCATGAATAGGCAACAACAATGATGCTGGAAGTCAACCTTGACAGGCTCATAAATGTTTCCATCAATCGCAATCACAATGAGGTGAGACACAACTTGCAGCTTGCAATCTTTTCCAAGACAGGCATTGAGAGCGACACGAGATAGCGAGCGAGAGATAGAGTGCGCGACACGCCGTGAGACAGAGCGTGAGCAAGCGGGACACAGAAAGAGAGAGAGAGGCAGACAGAGAGAGACACGCAGAAAGAGACAGATAGAGAGACAGAGACAGACATGCAGAAAGACAGAGACGTAGACAAAGAATTGCAGAAAGAGAGAGAGAGACAGCGAGACAAAAAATGTGAGAGACAGACAGAGACAGGCAGACAGCCCAAATCCCGAGATACACAGAGACAAGAGGACAGGGTGAGGTCTATCAGAAAAGAGGACCTATTTGCTTAAGCCTCTCTCAAGCCGGCGATATTTGTACAAAATCAATGCTGTTATATCCTCCATTCACCTGCAGAATTTTGGGAAAGTCAGCATCAAGAAGTCCCAGAAAATCAGTAATCAAACATATACAAAAATGCATCTTGAGGCAACTGACCCCATCTTGGACTCAGCTTTCCTGGTCAGTCTCCTGCTGTCTGTTAATTTACATCAAGTCTCCTATTACACCTGCCACCTCAATGCTCACTGACCTAAACCAGGTCCTGGTTGAGAAGCTCACGCTTTGGCCATCAGATCCCTTCATGGCCTCATCATCTGATTAGAACCTTGCCTGACCTCAAGCTCTCTCCTACAGCACTCCAAGATCTTGGCAATCCCAGTGAAAAGCCCATGTTTTACTCCACTTGACCAATGACAAGAGTCTCACTAGCTTGTTGAAAACAATCCTTTGGGCCAAGGTTTTATTCTCCTCTCTCAAAATCCGCTTCTGTTGCGCAGTTTCAAATTTCATCCGTTGATGCTTAAATGTGCACAGAGACGTTTTACTAATTCAAATGGCAGTGTATAAACATAAGATGTAATTGCTTTGTCAAAGACAAGAAACCAAGTAACAACTGTTAGTGATAGCAGGAACTGCAGATGCTGGAGAATCCGAGATAACAAGGTGTAGAGCTGGATGAACACAGCAGGCC